TGAGTTCGAGCCCCGCGTCGGGCTCTGTGCTGACAGCTCAGAGCCTAGAGCCTGTTTCAGATTCTGTGTCTCCCTCTCTCTGATCCTCCCCTGTTCATGCTCTGTCTCAAAAATAAATAAAACATTAAAAAAATTAAAAAAAAATAAATAAAAACTACTCATTACTAAGTTACAAATGACTTATGAGCACAGATGCCAAAATTCTAAATAAAATATTGGGAGATTAAATCGGTGTATAAAATGACAATTACTCATAAACAAGTCTGTTAATCCTAAGAATATGAGTAGTTTAAGTATAAAATTAGCATCATAATTCAGCAAATTAATAGTTCTTTTGGGGGGAACAAATGAAGAAAAGGCATTAAACAATATTGATCTCCATTGAGAAACCTTTTCTAAGGTCTTTAACCTGATATCTATCCTGGTACACACCAAAAGCCTGTGATAAGTATCATTTGAGTAGTGAAAAATGAGAAAATATTTTCTTTAAAAACAGGAGCATGACAAGAAGGCTCACCATAAACTTCTAATCATCATTGCACTGGATATCCTACCCAGAGAAGAAAAGAAAAAAGAGAGATAGAGAGGGAGAGAAAGAGAGAGAGGTGGAGAAGGAGAAGGATCAGACAATGAAGGAGGGGGAAGAGAGGGAAGGGAAGGAGAGAGAGAAAGAAGAACAGGAAGGGAGGAAGGAATTTAAAAAGAAGAAATAGACTCATATATACATATAATATATGTGCTACATACAATGTGCTTAGATGTGAATGGTAGTCTACATAGAAGTGTAGTAAGGCAATTAGGTATAAGATAAATATTCCAAAATCAATTGCATTTTTACAATGTGATAACAAAGTTATTTTAAATATTGATATTGTTTACAATAGCAAAAACATGTATATGCCATGTAGATATATCTTCTACATAATTTCTTTCTTAAGATATTAAGACCTTTGTGGAGAAACTATAAAACTGTATTGAAAGACATCAATGAAGGCCCTATAAAGGATGGTAATATACCACAATTAGGGCTAAGAAGACTTAATATCTTCAAGGTGACAATTTTTCCCAAAATTAATCTATACAATCAATGTAATTCCAAACAGAATTCTATCAGAGTTTTTTTCAAGAAGTTTAACAAGTAGGGATGCCTAGGTGGCTCAGTCAGTTAAGTGTCCAACTTCCGCACGGGTTATGATATCACGGTTTGTGGGTTCGAGCCCAGAATTGGGCTCCACGCTGACAGTGTGGAGCCAGCTTGGGATTCTGACTCTCTTCTCTCTGCCCCTTCCCCACAAGTGCTTGTGCTCTCTCTCAAAATAAATAAATAAACTTAAGAAAATAAGAAGTTTAACAAGGCTGATTCTAAAATTCATATGGAATAATTAAGGTCCAAAATAGGCAAGATATTACTTGAGAGAATATTTTCTTACCATATATCATGTATCAATCAAGACTTAAAGTTCAAGTGATTCAGTAGAGCACTGGTACAGATAAGAAGGACAATGGACTATAAAAGAGCTTCAACACAAACTTATTCAAAACACTTACTTGAGATAGGAGAAAAGTAGTTTTTATAGATGAGGGGGGAAGAGAGTCTATTCAATAAATGGTTCTGGGACAACTGTTTATTCATGTGGATAAAAACTATTATATCACTAACACTGAAATTGAGTTCCTGACGCAAAGTATATATAATTATCAATATCAAGTAGATTAGAGACTTAAATGGGCAGAGCAAAACCCCAAAATTTTTAGGAAAAAAAATTGGAGAATATTTTCCTAACCTCAGGATAAAGAAAGATCACATGAGAATAAGAAAATAAATTATAGCCTATTTATGCAATAGAATATTCTACAGTAATAAAATTAACTACAGCTACATATAACATAGTAAATGGGTTATTCTTAAAAATGTCAAGTTAGTGTAAAATAGCAAGTAACAAAAGACTACTTAAAGATTGATACAATTTGTATAAAATCAAAATAAAGCAAGCAAAATTAAGCAATATATTATTTGCTGATACATACTTTGGAGATAATTTTTTTTAATTAATGGAATTTTAAAACACAAAACTCACATTAATGGTCACTTGCAGGCATAGGAACATCAGAGGGAATCAGAAGGAGCAACTAAGTAGATTCAGTGGCACTTGTCCCATTTCTTCAGGCCACACTGTTTTATAATTTTGCTTAATAATTTATATGTATTTTATTTATGTTCTGCAAGTTGTGAATATGACACAGTTTTAAAATAAAATTTAAATTTTAAAAGGATTTGTGCTCATTTTACAAGGTCTAACTTCATTATAATTGGAGTTGTAGAAGCCTAAGTGGAGATTTGTGAGGCAGGGATAGAGATGGGAGTTTCGACTGGTAATGAGTTTGCTTTTGTTTTTGTTTTTGTTTTTTGTCACTGGTGTTAGTCAAGCATAGGCAGGTAAATCCCTTTAAATTATTGAGAATACTTTATTTTTATTAAGTTTATTTGTTTATTTGGGGAGGGGGCAAAGAGAAAGGGAAATAATGAGAATCCCAGGCAGGCTCTGTGCAGAACCTGATGCAGGGTTTGAACCCACAAACTATGAGATCATGCCCTGAGCCAAAGTCAGAGGCTTAACCAACGGAGCCACCCAGGTGCCCCAATTATTGTGAATATTGTAGAAAAAACTTAAGCATTAGTTGGTTGACTGCATTAAATCCCCTCCATATCTGAAAGACTATTATTCTATAGATCAATTTCAAGTCAAATAATTTAACTATTAATGTTAGCCAAACTTGTAACTACATAGAGTCCATATAAGTATCACCCTGATCTTCCAGTATTGAAATTAGAATGAATCAGTTGCTCCCCCAGGAAGCTAGGGAACAACTTCACCTTACAAGTCACTTGTTTCTGTTTTTCCTTTAATGACAATTTAATCCATTCATTGTAAGTCATTATTCCTCGGTGAGGGGGAGGAAGGAGAGAGATAAATATATACATGTTTAGCATTTTCAGCTAACTCAATTTTATGCAACTAATTACTTAAAAATAGTGTTGAAACTAATTTTAGGAAGTAATAAATTTTAGGGAGAGTCCTGGAGAATATTCAGCCTTTTAATCTTCAAAGATTCTGGAGTTTGAAGTAGAAGGCCACTTTACTGAAAGTGTTATCAAACGTTTCCTGATTCCTGACCATCAAGCAGCCATTGAGAATGCCAATCAAAGTGCAAAGACTATCACCTACAGGGAGCACTTAGAATTAACTTAAAAGCATAGATTAAATAAATTCATCTGTGCCAATGTCCCAAAGGCAAGGACAATCTTCCAAGCCTGAAAATAAGAGAAGCCAGAAGGATCCACAACAGAGAGTGGACTGCTGGTGTCCACTAAATCCACACTGAAAATACAGCCCATTCATCAGGTCACTCAGATTAATCACTTATATCTGTGGACAACCTTCTCATAAGTGCCTTCCCCCCAGGAACTTACTAACCCACCCATCTATCTTCTGAGCAACACCAGTTTTGGTTGTTAATTACACCAAGAAAGAGGGCTCATGACTAAGACCCACAAATTCAGGTTTTATACCCAGTAGGCTGGAGGAAGAGGTTGATGCCAAGACTAGAAACAGGTCCATGCCCCTCACTGAGTGACACTGTCATTGATGGTTCTCATTGTATGTTGTGTCTGTTTTTGGAGAAAGTCAATCATGTCACTCTCTTGAGAAGAGAATGGTGATCAGCAGGGACACTTCTACAGTTTAATAAATGTAAACTACTCCAGACATGCATCAAGGTTCTATTTACTCTCTTCCTTGCCTTAGGGTGGAAGAAATCCAATAGAGAAGAATAAGGGAGTAGCTTATCTTGCCCCGGAAATCACTACAGGCACACAGGAATTTTGCTATTTGTCTGACAGTGACCAAAAAAAAAAAAAAAAAAAAAAAAAAAAAAAAAAAAAAAAAAAAAAAAAAAAAAAAAAAAAAAAAAAAAAAATCCTTTGGTCAGTCACGTGACCCTGGCAGATATCTTCTCATAAGAGCGCTGTGTGGAGCTTCTGAAATTTGTGGAGATTTTTCTCTGCAGATGCAGGAAGAAAGCAGGTGGATGGGTGAATAAGTATGACCTTCCTCCTGGTCTCCTTGCTGGCATTCCTGAGCTTAGGCTCAGGATGTCATCATCGGATCTGTCACTGCTGGCACAGGGTTTTCCTCTGCCAAGAGAGCAAGGTGACGGAGATTCCCTCCGACCTTCCCAGGAACGCAGTTGAACTGTGAGTATCAGAGGCAGCGGGAACAATGGTGGGGCTGGCATTTGCGTGTTGTGTGCTATTATTATTTTCACTTTAGGCTGATAACGGTTGGGCTGAACTATTTCTGCACTGACCAAAGGCTTGAATAAAACAAACTCCCCCATCCTAACTCTGCTCTCCCAGGATCTTAGTGAGAGCCTGTCTCAGCCAGACAAGGAAGGAAGTATGGAAAGCTCAATTCAAAGGCAGAAGGAAAATGTTTGAGTCTTTTCAACACATTTGCTCTTGGGTTCCAAACTATGTTTCCTAACCAGAAAAGTAAAACTAAGAAAAACTAGAAACTTTGAAGACCTGGAATTAGAGGCAGAAAGACAGTTTTGATTTAAGTGAAATACACAACATGTCTCCCTAAGGACACTGAATTCAAGAAGGCACAAGTCACTGTCACTTTGGAGCCACCAGCAAATAATTCCTCAACAGAGGTTCTGCTTCCTGGAGAAACAGGGAACTAGAGGAGAAGGGAAGGGGTGTGAAGAAAGGGAGAAAGAACAGGGGAGGCAGAGTGGGCATGAAAAATATAGCATCATCTTTCAAACAGCTAGGAAAATGTGATTCCCAACTTGAGAATTTTAGTAAACTATTTAATAGGAAGTCAACAGACTCTCAGAGTTGGACAAGATCTTAGACCAGTTCACTTTATCTCTTCATTTTGCAAATGAGGAATCTGGATCTGGAGAGACAAAAGATTCGTGCAATCTCTTACAAGGAGCCAAAGCATAGCCAATACTAGAAAACAGGCCTTTTGACTCATAGTCTACTCTTCTTTCCCCCAAACATCATTCTGTCCAATTAATTACTACTTCCCCAAAGAACTGGGAAGTTACAGCTCAGAGAATATAGATACACTCAGTATTTTTATTCCATGTATTTTATTTTTAAAAAAAATTTTTTTAATGTTTATTTATTTTTGAGAGAGAGAGGGAGAGAGTCAGAGTGCGAGCGAAGGAGGGACAGAGAGAGAGACACAGAATCTGAAGCAGGCTCCAGGCTCCGAGCTGTCAGCACAGAGCCCGATGCGGGGCTCGAACTCATGAATCATGAGATCATGACCTGAGCTGAAGTTGGACGCTCAACCAACTGAGCCACCCAGGCACCCCTTATTCCGTGTATTTTAAATAGAAGCTGCTATTCTGGATGCCTCTTTCACTCTTGGTCCCATAAGGGTAAGGAAGACTCTTATTTTACTGCAGAGTATGGTCATCTTTTCAGTTCACAATTACCACAGCCACACTCAAACATGGTAGTGACTTTCACATTGTCACTCAGGGACAAGTAGTTAGTAGAACACTTGTTTGGTTCCACTTGCTACTTTTTCCCTGGACATCCTAAGTCCTCAGTTCCTATCCAGAGGCAGCTGCAGCAGCAGAGTAAATAACTCGTCAGCTCTGTGTTTTGGGTACACTGTCTCAGATGAGACAGTTATTCCTGATTATGGGGAAGAATGTGCCTAGGCACAGTCTAGTCATTATAAACACAGGAGAAGGCCAATGCACCTGAGCTCCTGAAAGAAGTCACTTGCCCCTAAGCAACTTTGAACAATTATTTATTCCATTCTGAACCTCAGATTCCTCACTTCTGAAGTGGTTTTACTACAACCAGTTTGGTTGGGTTGTTATTAAGACTAAAAGACATAGTTGCCTCACAAATATAGCCATTTCTGCCTCTCCACTTCTTCCAATGTTTCCCTGTGGGCCGAGCAGTGCCAACCAGTTAGTAGAGCATACAACCCCTAACAAGGTTTCATTTTAGTAATAATCCTCCATATCAAACTCCCTTCTGCACTAGGCCATCTACTTCTTACATCTCTTTACCAGATTTTTTTTTCATTATGCATAGAAAACATGAAGAAAGAAAATAAAGGAAGGAGGGAGGAAAGAAACGAAAATCCATTCCCAAACCCCAAACCTCAGGGAGTATGTGTATATAGTGTGGAAGGAGCAGACATATGATTTTTTAAATTAATTCATACTAAGATATAAATGACTAAAATTTGTCTGTCCAAGAGTACTTTGCAACTGAGAAAGAGACTGTAGGTAAGAGTGTTTGTAACTCTTGACAAAAGGTAGCCCTGGTCAACGCCTTCCTTAGGTGTATATACTAGAGGACAAAGTTGCATAAAACTAAGAAGGGGAATGCCCTTTATTGGCATTCCCCCCATCCCAGGAGTGAGTGTAGTTGCTTGAGAGTTTTGAAAGAGTTCTCCCAGATATCTAATCTTGAGAAGATTCTTTTCTCTGCACACTCATTAGTAGGGTATGAATTGGGCCATTTTAGAGTTTAGCTTTACAATCTTCCGGGCAAGGTATATACAGAAAAATAAGATACATGTTGCTTTGGTTGCTAGACATAAAAAAATTGAGAATATTTTGGAGGTTAGTTTGTTCATCACAGAAGAGCAGATAAAATGCCACATGAACTACTCAGGTGCTGAGTTATAATGAAAGAACCATTATTTTTATTTATTTGTGCTTTTTAAGAGGATTGGATTGGGTTTATCTGGAACATTGGCAGAGGGAAAATGAAACAGCTTGTTCAACTAAGTATTTCTAGTTCACCTTGCAGTCTTCTGCATTTGGATATTGACTTTAATGATGGTCACATCAAGTGGAGATGGATGGAATAGCTGGGCTTCACTGAGTGCAACTGTTTAATCCATCAATACATCACAGCTTCATTGTCTGTAAAATTCACCCAGGGGAGAACACGTGCTACATCTTAACCATGTACAGTTTATCCTAGCAATGCATCCACCTTGCAGCACTTTCATTCTATCTATCTGCCAGCTATCACCAGAGATTTCTAATTCCCAACCATCAGCACATGTCAATGTTAACACAAAAGGAATAGGAAAGCATCACCAACAGGCAGGTAGATTCCATTTACCAAAGGGCCCATATTATTTTCCTGAAGCTTTACACATAATACTTCATTAAAATTGCACAGAACTGCAAGTTTAGTATTATTGTTCCATTTTTCAGATGAAGCAAACTAAAGAGCTCTAGAGTCTGATAATTTCGACAGGCTCAGTCCTGCGGCTCTTGGATAGTAGAGCTGGGATCCAAACCTGAGCCCGTGCTCCCACAGCTTATCTCTGTTGTATAAAATAAAAGCCTCTATGGGGTGCCTGGGTGGCACAGTTGGTTAAGCGACCGACTTCAGCCAGGTCATGATCTCGCGGTCCGTGAGTTCGAGCCCCGCATCGGGCTCTGGGCTGATGGCTCAGAGCCTGGAGCCTGTTTCGGATTCTGTGTCTCCCTCTCTCTCTGCCCCTCGCCCGTTCATGCTCTGTCTCTCTCTGTCCCAAAAATAAATAAACGTTGAAAAAAAAAATAAAAAAAAAAAAAGCCTCTGATTCATTTTGTTTGTTCCTCTTCAAACAAACAAAAGATGTCCTTTAGAATTTTGACTGGAGGTTAGCAGTTTTTCTGTTAAGAGTCAATAATAAATACTTTAGGCTGTATGGGCCATAATTCTCTACTCCAACTTCTCAACTCTGTCACAGTTGTGGGAAAGCTGACACAGACAAAATGTAAATGAATAAGCATGGCTGTGTTCCAACAAAGCTTTGTTTTTTGCCACTGAAATTTGAATTTCATATAATGGTCACATGTCACAAAGTATCATTCTTCTTTTGATTTTTTTTTTATCATGTAAAGGATGAAAAATAGTCTTTGCTCATGAGCCACAGAAAAACAGATAGGCCAAGTATGGTCCACAGGCTATAGATTGCCCACCTCTGATTTAAACTATAGCTGAAAGTGGCTAAATCTTACTTGCTTAAGTAGAGTTGAGGCAGTTTGAAACAACATGGTGCCATGAAGAAAGTACTAAACTAGGTAAGCTGGGTCAGGAATGGAGGGAATTCTAAGATAACATTCTTTTTTTTTAACATTTATTTTGAGAGAGAGAGAGTATGAGCCAGGGAGGGGCAGAGAGAAAGAGACAGAGAGAATCCCAAGCAGGCCCCATGCTACGGGGCCCGACTCGGGGCTCAATCCCACAACCATGAGATTATGATGCTTAACCAATTGATCCAGACAGACACCCCAGGTAATATTCATAGGAGGGTCTTTTGCTGTTTTGACAAGTCAGAGATGGTATAGTATAGCCTTTAGAATCCGAGAGACTGGAGTTCAAACACAGGCTGTGACACTGTTTTTTTGCTCAATCACATGGCCTCTTGGCCATGTCATGGAAACTGCAATGTGGGCCTTTTTCAAAGAGTTGCTGTGAGGACTATATGAGATAATGAATATAAAACACCTAGCGTAATGCCTCTCAGGTGGTGGTGGTGATGGCTGTTGCTGTTGTCGTCTGTAAAACACTAGGGGAAAAAAAAAAAAACACCAGAGGGCATTCATGACGACCAAATTAATCAATAGGTATGAGAATGATTTTCACAATTGATAGAAAGATCTTTATAACTCTGTAAGACTCCTACTTACTTAAGAACAATCTGGGATGAACACTGGGTGTTGTATGGAAACCAATTTGACAATAAATTTCATATGAAAAAAAAAGAATAATCTCCTCTTCCTCCCAGTGGCTGAAGGACTTACTCTCTGTGCACTTATTTTCTAAGTAAGAAAATGTGTTCTTTTAGGCTTTCAATATTTGGCAAGAACTCAGGGAGGTTTCGTTCTGACCACAGTCAAAGGAATTTTGATTTCTGACTTACCCTAGAAACTCAGTTTCAGTTGGAGGCAGTCAATGAATATATCAAGGACACTTTGATCTTGCTTTTTTCTTCCTGGAGTTACAATTTCCAAGGAGAATGTGAACACCCATTCAAAATCTGAAATTTTGACTAAGTGACAGTGCAGATACAGCTATCTTTCTCTTCAGCAGGGTCAGATGACCACAATACTAAGAGGAGAAAAGGGCCCACTGGCGGTCACTGTCGACGTAGAGAGATCTGTATTGAAATTTTATTATAGGCTGCCTTTTTTGACCCCTCTGTT